GAATAAAACATAGGAACGAGCCAACAAACTTCGTTTCGCCTTAATATGAATTTTACTTAGCTTACTTTTTAGTAACTTTAACCAACATATGGAACGTTTTCCCATAGTAGTTCGCTTTTCCGTATACCTAAGTATTAAATAAAACTAGATTTTCAAATTTTTCTTTCCATAAAATTAAAAACCTCAGAGTTCAAGAAAAAAAAAATGAATATATTTTCGGATTTATTTTTATTTCGTAACATTGTCTGTTAAGTGTATTTTTGTCTACTATATGTGTTATCTTTTAAATAAAAACGACGTTTCTCGAAAGTTCTCACCAATGTATGACGCCCTTGATTTGAGAACTGGCAGTAAATGTAAAATTAGAAGCATTTAATATGTACATATTTCTTTTTTGACGTTCATAAGTGTACATTGTGTTACCTAAATGAATAAATGATTTTGATTTGATTTGTGTGTTTGTTTGTGTGTGTGTGTGTGTGTGTGTTGATGTCGCTCAGAACAATAGTTTCTATACGAATTGAACAAACCAATTGACAACATATTATATGTTCGTAATAAGGAACCATAATTCGCAGAATACACGGCTGGGCAGACTCGCGTTTTGTTTGTTTTGCACTATTATTTGTTTAGGCTCGCATTGAAGCTTCTGTTGTTTAAAATTTATTTTAGACCAAGAAAGCTGTCGTATATAATTATAAATTACTGTCTAGAATATTTGTGGCTAAGTAATGAATAAAACGAGGCAAGAAAAAGGAAGTATTCCTCATAAATTAGTTGTAATAGGCATTTTATTAATAAATGACAACTTGTCAATATATCAAAGATCTTTTCGTCGCTGTAAAATGATAACCGCGTATGTCCAGAGAACCAAACATTACAGGAAACGAAAAATGTGTTTCAATTCGTCAGTGTTCGTTAAAATATGTATGTATGTATGTGTTTCTGTCCATAGTTTTAGATGGTTAACAGGACTTATTTATTAATAACATAAGTAAGTCCTTAATTCATGATTACCAGTTAAATGACATAAGAGTCTAAGAATAAAAAATAAATGTTTTTTTAAATACTAAGTTATCATTCTACAGTAGTGTTTTGTGGAATACAAAATTCTACGTGTATCACCTCCGACGTCCGTCGTTCCACAACTCAGCGTTTTTAACTCACTTTTCCGCGCTAATGTGGAACCAGTTGCCCACTGAAGTATTTCCGAACCAATTCGACTTAGAGTCCTTCAAGAGCGTTCCAATTCTTTGCCTTCTTGAGTGTCCATGGGCGGCATGGCCTGCCCGTTTCATTTCCTTTTCAAACCCTGACAATTACGAAATATCTAAGTGTATAACATTGTTATCGGTTAAATGTTTAACTAAATGATAAACAACACAAAAAAATGCGAAACAATGTTTTTAAAACAACCGTGTTTTAGTTTTTTTAGTTACGATCTGTCGTTTGCCAAATACTGTGTATTTGTAAAACATTTCGTGTAAATTCCACTTTTATATTTAACAATGTCGTACTGTAATAACTAATAGAACAGAACTGTATTGTAAAAATGGCACAACCTCTTTAGGTCTAGGCCTCAGATTTCTGTATCTGTTTCATGAATGTCAATCTAATAGGCAAGTAGGTGATCAGCCTCCTGTCACTTACACACGCCGTCGACTGTTTGTGTCTAAGGCAATATTGGCTCACGATGTTAACCTTCGGCGAATAAGAGACTCTCCTACTTGCTTATTGAGATTGCAGACATTCCCCCAGATCAAAGAGATGCACTCACTCGTTCTTTAGTTCAGTTTGGAAAACGTAACAATAATTTGCGAATGGAATGACCAGAAGACATTGGGTCTCCGAGACTTTTGTCACGTCCTAAGGATTAAATATTAAATGTTTGTAATTTAAAATCTTGCACTGCCAACTTTTAGGTCTGGGATAGATGTATGTGTTTATTGCCAGTTCTTCTCTTCCGTTGTACGCCTTTGATTTGAGAACTGGCAGTAAATATACAATTAGAAGCATTTAATGTATATTTCTTTGTAGACGTTCATAAATGTACATTGTGTTACCTAAATGAATTTTTTGGACTTTTGACTGTGATCTCAATAAGCAATGAGCCTTCTATGCCTCAGATTTCTGTATATTATGTTTTACGGTTGTGAGTTTTTGAGTTTACATCGTAAGAAAATGTTGCCTTAGATAACGACGCCGTGTGTCTGACACAGAAGGCTGATCACCTACTTGCCTATTAGATTGACAACGGTAAAACAGATACAGAAATCTGGGGCCCAGACCTAAACAGGTCTATAAGATATAACGTCAAGCGTGTATTAATTATTTGACTATAACGTGGTGTCATTTCGCGGCTAAAGTCAGTCACAGACCACCAGAATATCTAGGGTACAAAAATAACACCATTTTTGTATTTTTATGGTGAAGAGGGAAGTAAGAGACTTAAGACAGTTTTCCATACATAACAGCCTTGACGTAATTAATAAATTACAATTGTAATGTAATTTATAATACATTTAGAGAATAATCAGTACAGTGTAAGCTCTTTATAACGAATTTCAAGGGACCGAGCATTTTTATTCGTTATAGAGACGTTTCGTTATATGGAGGGATATAATTAATGTATAGATATTGGGTTAAACCAAATAAATTTATCTCATTTTTCCGTTAAAGAGAGTTTTTCGTTATAACCAATGACAAAAATATACACTGTTATTATAAATAAATGTTTTTAATTTTTATTTTCAAAGTTTTTTTACCTGTAATTGAAATGAAATACCACAAATTATTTTTGACACTAACGCACTTTGATCTAAATAAACGTTTAGTAATGTCGCCGCGAACTTCGTTTCGCCTTAATATGATTTTTACTTAGCCTTCCTTTTTAATAGCTACATACCAACATATGGAATATACTATGCTAACCCATAGAGACTGTTCGTTTTACCTAAGTACTAAATAAAACTTAATTTTTAATTTTTCGAATCACACCTTAAAACAGCTCAGCAACAGCAATTTCTTTTATATTCTTTACGACTTCTAGTACCCTAAGTAATATTAAAGAGGCTTTGAACCCCTTAAAAAAAATTAAAAAAACTGATTACATGACATCCATTATGTAAATGATATTGTCTCAGTTCTCAGTTTCCAGTGATTTACATTAGTTTAGGTTATTTATTATTATTATTCTTTGATTATATTGTGGCGTTTGTGATCAGGTTAAGTTAAGCCAAAAATTTGTACCTTCTTTCTTTCATTTCACAAATCATGTTTTAATTAATTTCTATGGGGTTAGAGCATGCGCCACCACATTATTGCATGGTACACCAGCGCCGAGAATATGAAGAAAACAAATTGGAGCTGTTTTAAGGTGAAGTTCGACAAATTTACCTTTTAATTTTTGTAATATATCTCCATAAATACCTTTCTCACAATATAAGGAATAACAAAAAAATACTTGAACTGATCCAGCCGTTTTAGATTCTTATATTTTTATTATAGATTTTGTGTACAAATAAATAGTGAATTAAATTCACAAAATAACAATTTTATAACGTAATTTTATTTGTTGCTAAAATTTCTACTTCACTCCCGCGTCGGGCATTATATTCCCGAATTCCGTCGATGACTTCAGCCATAATAACTATTATTCTGGGTAAACATCATCATAAATAGATGGCAATATTACAATTAAAAACCTTCCAGGTGTAATATAAAGCTATGTAACCTATCGGGCATGGGGGCGGACACATTTTTAAGGCAAATTAGTCCTTAAATAGTAGCGCCGGGAATCGAAACAGGACCTTCGTTATACGCGATAATAACCACTGAGCCAAGGAGCCACATAAATCATTTCTCAACAAATACCAGGATATAAGATCCTTATAGAAGTTAAATTTTCTAATTAGAATGTTTTGAATTCTATTTTGAATTAAGAATTTTTATTACCACTCCCTAAGTAAAGAATTAAAAAGTCGGTTATAAGTTCTAGGTTATGTGTGTGCCAAAGCGTTTTGTATTTTGACACACAGAATTGTCATATTTCGCGCTAAGCCTCGATTCTATATCTTCTAGTCTAGATTTAAAGTTACATTTATCTATGTCTCAAATAAGTATGTGTTTATTAAGTAATTAGTTGATATTTTCACCACATCTTAGTATTTGTTTTATATTTTACCTCAATTCTTAATGTCTGCATTCCCGCATTCGATAAATTAACTCATTTGCAACCATCGCATGCATCAAAAAACATGCCCAGTTCCACACCAGTTCAATATCACCACACTTACCCAAAACGGCGCACTATAAAATATCGTCACACACAAAAAACCGGTTTCAACTTAAATTTGTTACGAACGTAAAAAAATCGTCAACAATCGAACTAACAAAGCTCCCCGTAGCTATCTCAAACCGTACTGAAATTCTAAACCCGACTTTGGTGTCCATGTCGTACACCCCCCGTTACTAAATTTCACCTTGGTTGCGTAACGTCGTAAGTCCAATATAATTTATTTGAAAATAAGCTTTGCTGCTATAAAATAGATCTCACAATTCAATGAGAGTATATGGGTGTTTGTGCGTTCTGTACGCAATGTCTCGACTACAAGGCTATGAGAACGTGTAATTTAAAGACGTAGCTTCGATACGAAATGGGACACTATATGTATCTCGTTCCCTCCCGTTTAAGAGGCGGTTCTAGTAACCAGTCCGCGATGTGTGGTTGCTCATTTTTTGCTATTCTGTATTGAATTATATATTATTTTGTGAATTAGATTGTGCTATGGTGTCATATTTTGCCTGATGCTAGCTGGATCTTCGGGATGCAGGTTGGAGACATCACTACCGGATTTAAACGCGTTACTTAATTTATGATATCGGACCGTCGAAATGCATGAATAATTGTCAAATTAATTTTGTTTCTATCCCTTAAAATATAATAAATAAGACAACATTGGTTTTAATTAAATATATTTAAAAATTGAATTAATTAATTTCTATTTTCTCTTGTCTTTGGGTACTTTGAAGCATTGTATTTTAAAGTGATCACACATTTGTCGGACCTGGAAAAAAATGCAAAGAAAATCATTTAAATATACATTACAACTTCTTACCTCCTACTAGATTTTTTAAAATACAAAAAAAATTATTTAAAAATATATCTCTCTCTTTTTTTTTAAATTTGCCTGGTTTTTAAAAAATAAAAACCCGGGGACGGGGGCGGGGACACGTGAACCCCCCCCCAAACCCCCCATTTTTTTTGCTGTCTCCCCTTTCCCCCTCCCCATAGGGGGGGGGGATCCCTCAAAGCTCTCAGCAGTGCCACATCAGGTCCGGAAGCATCACGAAAGAGTTTTGTGAGCTGAATGAGCACCCGGAGAAGGAGGAAGAAGTACTAATATGTCAAAGCTTTGTTCATTAGAACCTCTGATTTATTATAGGTATATAATTTCTTTGGTAGGAAATAATATCTTGTGTCAAGAGTAATTGAAATCATCGTACGCTATTTTCTGGAAGGACCCTAAGTCGAATCGGTTCGGAAATGCCGCAAAGTGGTACGCGGCAAAGTATTTTGGCAAATTAAAAAACGGTTATTTATGGAAAAAAAAATGTTTATTATGGAACATAAGATACATGTATCACTTATTCCACGTCATTAAATTTGAACTTTTAGGCATCCCTACTCATCGGCAAAGAAGACAGAGGGTGAAGGCCGAGAGAAAAAGCCGGCGTAAAAAACTCTCGGTACTCTTTTAAAACAGCAAATCATCAAACAACACTTATTTAAAACAAATATCGCAAATTAACACGACGACGAACATCGATGTGAAACTGTTATCAATATCTATTTATTTATAAAAAATCACAATCATAAACAGGTGACCGTAAATCGACAGGAATACTTACCACACAAATACCGTAATGTAGATGAGCGCAGATGGTAAAAGCTGTCAGAATATACAAAATGGCCAGTTCGTAGTGAGGTAGAAGGTTCGCCAGTCCAATCCCAATCGCCAGAGGTATATTTACCCATGAAATTGTGTCGCAGCATTGTCCACTCATCTCGGCAACTATGAGACGACTCTGAAATTAGACATAGACATAATATTTATCACTAACAAAAACACACACACATAAACACACAAAATAACATTTAAAAAAAAATATTGAAAGATATAAAAAAAATTCCCTTTTCCCATTAGGTTCGTTTCAAGTGTGTAATGCGTGTGTTGTGGTTGTAACTGGCTCTGGCTCAGCATCATGCTGAGGAGCAGAATGTTCCACAGCGCTGGTCATTCTGCCAGAGATGCCTCAGACGCAAGAAAAAGAATGTAATAATAATAATAGTAAAAATTTACCTAGTATAGAAAACTTGGAAGGTTTGTATGTAAAAATATATATAAAAAATAAGAATAATTGTTTCTAAAACTACCATAAGAAATAGATAAATAATTATTTTTGGTCGGATTACAAACAAGTTGTACTTTGTTACTTAGACGAAAATTTGATTTTAGTTGAAGATATCATATCACTTAACACCCCCTTGCCCGTTTGCCCACAGTTATAAAAAATGAAATACATGGAAGCTACTATCACTTAATAGGGTTTAGTAATCTAATAGCATACCGCAATATTGCTGAAAAGAGTCCCGAAGAGCATCAGAAACGCCCTCAAATCCCGCAACATAATATCACTGCTAGCCGCCCATGACGTCATTAGACATGTCATTATCAACATGGGCCATATGGGTCTCAAAGCGTCAACTAACGGATACATTTTACCCGTACGTTTCTTGTACGACCTAGAAAAAAAAACATATAAGTACGTACACTGCCACAGGGACCAAACTTTTTAAATTTCTTTTAATTTTCTATTTATCAATTTTTAAGGTTAAGGTGAAGAATATTGTAAATATAAATATGCTAAATATGTTTATATATATTTAATAAGCATAGCAGCAGATAGCAATGGATCAGAATTGGCTTAGCGGTTTCTGCCTGAGGTCGTAGGTTCGATCCCCGCCTGTAGACCAATGTTTGACCAAAACCGAAGAGAATGCCTACGTCTGGCTATACTCTCGGGGCGTAACTCCGACTAAGAAATCGCCACGCTTATAAAACTAAGAAAGCCTGAGTGAGCAAAATGTACAGCCTTAATGTGTGTCTATTAAAAAAACAAATCACGAAACAGATTAAATCTTTTTTTTTTTTTTTTTTATGTAATAGGAGGCAAACGGGCAGGAGCACCTGAGTGATACCGCGCCCATGGAACTCACAATGCCAAAGGCTCGCAAGTCGATGCCGGCCTTTCAGGAATTGGTACGCTCTTTTCTTGAAGGACCTAAGTCGAATTGGTTCGGAACTCTTGGCGCTGTCCACTGTGGTGGCGCGGCAAAAACTGCCTTAGAAAACGCTCTGTTTGGAACGACGGACTCGAGGTGAACGGATGGTTTTTGTTTTTGCCTTGACTCCGATGATGAAACTCACTGCAGGTATAGACCGAACAACTCCTCTGAACATCTCATGGTAAATCGGTAGAAGATGCAGAGAGATCCCACATCTCTACCAACCAAGATCAAGCCGCACGGAAAGTGACTGGTCGTCGACGATTCGAACCGCTCTTCGTTGAATACGGTCAAGTGGAAGGAGCTGGTACTGGGAGCCCCCAGAGGTGAGAGCAGTACTCCATGGGGCCGAATTTGCGCTTATAGTTCAAGCGGTGGCCCGGAGTGAAGTACCGTCTCCCTTGCTGACCACCAAGCTTTTGGAGGCTAATTTAGCCTTTCCTCCAATGACCGCAAACTGAACTTTTCGATATGTCAAGCCCAGTATTCCGATGCTAGCTGAGGCTTAAGGAGAGTGTCTTCAAAGGGGAGTAGACAAGGGAGTTTTTTTAGCGGAAAAGCGCATACTTGTGTCTTCTTGGGGTTAAATTGGACTAGATTTAGTCTACCCCAGTCCGAACTCATAGAAGAGTTTCGACTTCAGACACAAGTTTGTTCCGGTACTATCACAAACCCGAGAGATACCCCCGGCCAGTGTAAAAGTATCCCCAGTGCTGTCGTCCCAGCAAGAATGTTGCTAAGCCAACTCATATCAGAATAAACAGGGTCGGGATAGGACACAGCCTTGTGGGACACCAGTTCACAGGTTTCAGGTCGGAGATGCTCGTCTGACTTTGATGCCCACAGAAACTGGAAATCCAGTTGCATAATTTCTCAGGAGCCCAAGCTGGAAGCTTCTGAGCAGTCTCTGTCCACACCCGATCGAAGGCTTTCGCTATGTCCAAACTACCGCACGCCTCCCCTTGACTCAATTCCTCTCCCACTATGTGTAAGGTATACAAGGAGGTCACCAGCCGACACCACGACGGAACCGTACACGCTAATCAGCTGTGGCCCTCAGATACCTCAAGAGCTGGCTGTTAATAATGGTTTCCATTATTTTGGAGAACAAGGAGGTTATAGCTATTGAGCGATAGTTGGACGACAAGCATCCTTTTAGGGATCGGATTATCGAAGCGATCTTCACACTTCGGACAGGCCGAGCGTGTAAAGGTACCAAGCCTTACCGAGCCAACTCAGACAGCCATTGGAGGGATGCCACAGGCCCGCTCGACTTATGGATGTCCAAGGAAGCAAAGCTTACGGATAGCAGTTGCCGGAATTAACTTCGGGCATCGTAGTATCACACCGCAATAATGTCGGTGGTTCCTTCCCTTGATCATCCAAAGTGGAGTTCGACGCAAAGAGACAGCCTAGAAATCGGCCTTCTCTTTCCGGTATGGGCAAGTGAGTCATCCTCCCTATCAGTGGTGGAATTGAGGGCTGACAGAAATTCCCTTGGACAGCTTTGGCAAGAGACCAAAGGCCGAGTTCCCGAAGGGAGGTGGGCCAATTTCTCACCAAATCTGGCAATGTGCTCTGACTTTGCTTAGCGATTTCTCGCTTGAAGGACCTGGAGGCTATTTTGCTTTTTAGTTCGCCGATAGTCACCACAGGATTCACCGCTTCTGCCCAGGCTTTAAAGCATTCACGCTTACGGCGCAAACCGCTTTGCAGGAACGCCTAAACCAAGGCTGGGACTGCCACCGACCGGCCCGCAGAGAATGGATAAAAGTTCCATACCCTCAGGCCACCCGGCGAGTCAGCGACGGCTCTGAGTCCGAACAAAGGGCCCCCAAGGTAGGACGCAAAAAAGCCCCCATCCCATCTGTTACTTATAGTGCCAACCGGCGACACCGTGAAGCTAGGCCGAAGAGGGCGCGTGAACGGCACAGCTCCGACACACATGATCGATGAACCCAATGGCGGTTCACAGAGACTTATAGTTCTCCGGATGTGAATCACAGAAGGTCCAACAAAGAGGGTTTATGACCATCCACATCTGGTATTCGCGTAATCGCAGGGACCATTGCGTCAAGTCATAAGCCAAAGCAAAGTCGTGAAAGGATCTTCCCGCATGATCGGTGGTTTCTGACCGAGCCAATCGGCATGGTGGGCGTTAAAATCGCCAAGAACGATTTCACGGTAGGAACCCTTTCGAGCAGGGAATCTGTAGCATTGGATGTGCTCAATGAGTCGGTCAGTTTCGGTATTTCCGCTATGGGACCTATACAGGCATGCATAGAATCGCGGATGGTCTCGCAGTCTACCGCAGCCAGAGGTTAGATAGGTCCCTTCCTTCAAGCGTCCAGGCGACGAGAACAGATATCCTCTCTGACGTACACCAAACTCCCGCCCGCGGCACAAATGAATGTTCCAATTTGTACCCGGGTAGGAGAGGTAGGAAGTATCAGCCGGGGAGGAAATCTGAGTCTCGGTAAGAAAAGCAAGGCCGGCTTCGCAGTCTCTAAATGGTAGTGACTGGTTGATATTAGAATTGAGCCCCCTAACATTTGTGAAGTCCACAGCGAGCGTGGACGGGGTGCCTTGTTGAGTTGCTCCGTTTGCCCCGAGAACGATAACTGTTTTTGATGTTGAGCGCAGAATTGCCCCCCCCAGAATACGAAGGGAGAGGCCTGTCCGCGTCCACCACCGGTGCTGAAGTCCGGTGTTGGACGCCTAATTATTTCTCCCTTGATTCAGCTTTTTACTTGCTCACGTGTTGTTCCCACAGTAAGTGTGTGCTCCTATTACACGGCTATCGCTGATAAAGGTTTGTATATTTGTTAAATTCATATTGCTCTGTATATGATTAAAAACTTTTATTGTAACAATTTAAAATTAAGAATTTTTCACCTAACAAGCTACAAAGGCGCAAGAAACGAAATAGGTATCAAATAGCCAAAAGTATAAGCTCATCCAAAACACAAACGCCACTGAGAATTAAAAAAGGTCTTTTATTCTAATTATTACTACCACCATGTATGGAATCTCTCCATCGAGGTATTTCTGAACTTAGCTTAGGTAAAGAACGTACTAACTCCAAAAAGGCCGGCAAAGCGCTGGCAAGGTAAGTTCATGAACGGTGGTGTCACTTAACGTCAGGCAAACCTTTCGTAGAAGATAAGATTTATTTTGTTTGATTATGTATTGTGTCAATAAATCTGTTTATTTTTGTTACCAGAGATATTAAGACATTATTTCCTTGACTTGAATATTTAAATTCTTTAGAGACAGTCCATAGGTAAGATAAACTAGACTAGAACGGGGGTCTAACGGACAGAATGTCGGATTTATTAAAGAAAAGTTTAAAAATCGGCAACGCACTCGCGAGCCCTCTGGAATTGAGTGTCCATGGGCACTATATATACTATACACTATATCACTTAACATCAGATGAGCAACCTGCCCGTTTGCGCCCCTGTTCCATAAAAAAGCTCATTGATCTTAAGTAATACCACCGCCCATGGACACTATCAAATCCAGAGGCCTCGCGAGTACGTTTTAAGATTTGAAACTCTCTTTTCTTAAAGGACCCTAAGTCGAATTGGTTCGGAAATACTTCAACGCTCAGTTGTGGAACAAATGCTACATTAATAACTACGTTAATTATATTAAAATAAATAGACATACAGATAAACATTATACACAGCGACAGGTAATGTTGTGAATAGGCCAGTCGTGTGTATGGCCAACTCCAGAGCCTGAACGAACGTAACTTCTCCATAAACATAGGTTTTGTATACTTCCGGGCCATTCACTCCTGCCACCAGGAATATTATACTGGCTACCTGTAACAAATGAACCCTGTTCGTGTATTTATATAAAATGACACACCATTTATCAAATTTTTAAAGGCAACATTATTATAAATAAATTAACAGCTATTATGTTATAGAGCAGTGTTCACGTAGTGGCTTCAGAGTGCGAATCTCATCCTTGAGGTCGTAGGTTCGAGCCCCGGCTGTGCAACAATGGACTTTCTTTATGTGGGCATCTAACATTCGTTCGAACGGTGAAGTAAGACTTCGTGAGGAATTCTTGCCTTAGACCCAAAAATATGGCGGCGTGTCACAGGAGGCTGAACGCCTTGCCTATTAGATTGACAATCATTAAACAAATACAGAAATCTGAGGCCCAGACCTAAAAAAATTGTAGTGCCACTGATTCATTTATTACCTAAATTTATATTTATCTATACCTTTTCCCATCACTGCTCTTCATTAATATACTACTTTTGGAAAACAATATTATTCATTATGTTAGTGAATGATTGATAATTGATTCAGTTCCTTCATAGTTTGGTGCACAAAGCCAAGCAAGTAATTGTTTTAATTTCGTTTATTAACTTTCCGATTCAATTTAATTTATAGCATGATAGATAGGAAAATTATATAGAACTCACCCACATACTAAGATCATATCCCCAGGGTAAATACAGGATACCAGTGTTATACTTCTCCCAATGGCTCACGTAGAAATTGAGCACCACGCTCAACACAACTAAGTAACCTCTGAAATTATTATACTTAGAGAGGAAAATTGAATAATGATTTGAATTTAAATTTGTTACGTAGTTTGTAAAAATAATTTATAAAAAATATCTTCTGCGCGTATTTGCTTAGGCTATGAGCGTATATGTGCTGTGGTGCTGTCATGTGAAGTCGATTTCCATTGAAAGCATCAAATCATCTTCTAGCCCTAGAATATGGTGACGTTTTATTCGACTCACATACTGTTCTATGGTGAGTTAGCGAGCCAGTTAGTCTGAGTGACAGATACGGATTTCCTCTTTGATTGTTCTCCTCTTCAACACCTTGAAGGTGTTCGCGAACTTCGTCGGAAGTAACAAAAAAAGAATGTTTGTAGACAGGCTTTATACTCTACACAGGCCAGGGGAAGTGCATTCTCTAGGTGTCTCAGAGACAACCCCTTTTTTATGTAATAGGAGCCAAATGGGCAGGGGGCTCACCTGATGTTAAGTGATACATGGCACTCGCATTGCCAGAAGGCTCCCAAGTGCATTGCCGGGTTTTTAAGAATTAGTACGCTCTATTCTTAAGGACCCGAAGTCGAATTGGTTCGGAAATACTTCAGTAGCAGAAGCATTATTTATCAGTTACTTGAGACCACTTCTCAAAGATTCAACACGTGTGTGCGCTGTGGAACTTTTTGCTCCTCAGCATAATGCTGAGCCAGGGCCAATTACAACCACAGCACACACGCATTACACACTGGAAGCGAAACGAATGGCAAAAGGGATTTTTTTTTAATTTTTATTTTTTATTGTTTTTGATGTCTTATTTTATTTTTTTCTTTAAGTATTGTTATTTTGTGTGTTTATGTGTGTGTGTTTTCGTTTGTAATAAATGTTATGTCTATGTCTATGTCTATGTTTGAGTTCGGGCTAAATTTTGACTATGGTAAAAATATCTAATTATTTAAGTATTTAAAACCCTACTAGTTTTTTTATAATATCGCAAAACTGTATTACCTGAACTCTGGTATAGAGTACGTATCACGTCCAAACACGGAGAAGAGACAGAAAGGTATCAGAAAGACAATATAAGAGTCTATTCCATGGTCAAACATCTCTCCGAGAGGACCAGAAACTCCGATTCGTCTGGCCTGTTTGCCATCTATGCCATCTGGATAAAAAAAGATAAAAAACGTGGCACTACACCTTTTGGTTTGGGCCCTTTAGTATCATCAATAAATCAGTGGCATACAACCGCTTTTTAGGTCTGGGTTTTAGGTTTTTTTTTTTTCCTCAAGATGTTTTCCTTGAATACAAAGTTTGTAATAGAAGAATTAAACGCGGAAATATGTGAAAAAAAACGTTTCAAGAGGCATCAAGACAAGGTTAATTTTTGAAGTTATACTTCTTTAGGCGCGTTATGAAAAATTTAAGTGAAATTTTACGATGCGCGCGCACCGTGACACAAAATTATCAGTATGAAGTTGCCCACGGAAGATGCTACGGTATTGGACATAATTTAAAAACAACATTCGAATAATAATAGAATTTATTTTACACTTAATGTAAGAAAATAATAATAAATATTTATTTATTTAATTTTTCAAATGTAAACTGAACTTTATTGACTATAATGACTCCTTTTCTAGTCTTTGATTTTTTAATTGTAATTAATGATTTGCATGCAATCAAAAACTATTTTTAATAATGCCAAAGAAGTATAACTTCTTACGCGCGTACATAAGTACACGCACCCTTTTTTATGTTATCATGAATTAATGTGTGTAATATATGTGCCAGCATAACCCTCTCATATATAGACATTAGTATAATATGATAGTAGTTGAAAATATAAAAAAAAATGTGTTCGACTTACGTACACGCGTTAGAAGTTCTACTTCTTTGGCGTAACAAGATAAAAATCTTTTCAAAAATTGTATTCTACGTTTGTAGAAAAAACGACACTAACATTAGAAAAAAATACATTTTGACAATAGCTAACTTCAGGGTGTCGGATTTTTTTCGTGACGGTGTGCGCGCGCATTTTAAAAATTTACCCTCATCATTTTTCCCTTACGCGCCAAAAGTAACTTCAAAAAACAAAAAAATAACTAATTTATTTCTTATGGTGTTTTTAGAATTATAATTACCTAAATGATAAGCTAAAAACAATAAAACCCCACAAAGGGTAAATATGGCCCTGGGTATTCCTTGGGCGCCGACAGCTGATGCTGTTAAGTCATAGTCGTATATCGTCAGCAATACTACATTTACCAGCATGCAGAGGAAACCAGCGAAGGTTAGGAGGTTTGGAGCCACCCATCTTGGGACAATCTGAACAAAACGGACAGCATTTTTATAAATTGAAATTAGTCAATAGTTCACATTTTTTTTTTATAGAACGGGGGGCAAACGGGCAGGAGGCTCACCTGATGTTAAGTGATACCGCCGCCCATGGACACTCTCAATGCCAGAGGGCTCGCGAGTGCGTTGCCGGCCTTTTAAGAATTTAATTTAAACATAAATACAATAAAACTGGCAATCTATATATATATATTTATTTATATAGATATATATATATATTCATGACGAGAATAAAGCCATAAAACGCTTCCTACGCTTCATTATGCTTTAATGAAGTCCCTAAGATTTAATGTAGGAACTAATGTTACAGGTCCATTTACTAAATGTATAGTAATAATAAGATGGATAGAGAGAGAGAGAAAGATGGAGCCAATTGGAGAAGGTCAATAATAGAGTATACTCTATAAGAGGTCCTTGGAAAAAAAATAAAATTTTAAGGGTGTGTAAGAATTTTTCAAGGAGGTTTCATTATTATTATAATTGAAGTAATAACATGTTATCAATTTCAACAAGTTTGAATAAAAAACAGGAATTCCTTTAAATTACGTGGTAATTTAATTTTATTGCTAGATTATAAACGTCCATAGATCATAGACTGGATTACCTTTACCAGCGTGTTCCAAGTTGGGTGCATCACATATTTGCTAAGTGGACTTGTGTCGATTGCGCTATACTGAAAAAATACTTGGGATTGAGACTTGATATAAATTCGAATTAGGGTCCTTCAAGAAAAGAGCGTACCAATTCTTAAAAAGCCAGCAACGTACTCGCGAGCCCTCTGGCATTGACAGTGAGCTTCTTGCCCGTTTGTTCCCTGTTCTATAAAGAAAAACCATGGAACAGTTTTTAACCTATCATTTTACTCAGAGTCGAGACTTTACTTAAATAATCACTCCCGTGGTTTTTGGTTGCTTAGAAATGCACAGCGCGAATTTATATTTTATCAAGTTGGTACACATTGCATATAGATCTGTGAATTGTGTGAATTTTGAAGAACTTTTAAAGAGATTTTTTTTATAGAATATGTAGCAAACGGAGGCACATCCGATGTTAAGTTATATGAACAGTCTAAATGCTTGAGAGCTCGCGATTGCGTTGCTGTGTTTAAGAATTGGTACGCTCTTTTCTTTAGGGACCCTAAGTCGAATTGGTTCGGAAATACTTCAGTGGGCAGCTGGTTCCACATTAGCGCAGCAAAGTGCCTTAAAAAACGCTTAGTTATGGAACGACGGACGTCGTAATACGGATGGAATTATAATTCTGCCTCGACATCTGATGACCTCAGCTGCAGGTGATCCGAACAACTCCTCTGAACTGTTTGAACTCAATGTGTGACTAAAATAGCGCAATTTAGTAAAACAATTTCGTATTGTTTTAAAAGGTTTTTTAAGTAAACTTGAGCAACAGCGTCAGTTCCTTCAGTTTATTGCTTCTTTTTCATTTAATAGACATGTGGGTGGTTCTGTGCCTGACTTTCAGTTCTAAGACATACCAGTTTCCTCACGATGTTTTCCTTAACCGTTCGAGCGTTCAGTTGATTATTGTTATTTTGCTTAGAAGTGATAGTAGATATTAAAATTTAATCTAATTATATTAATAATTAAATGTTATAGAGCAGTGTTGGCCTAGTGGCTTCGACGCGCGACTCTTATACCTGAGGTCTGCGACCCCGAAGTGCACCAATATTTTCTTTCTATGTGCGCATTTACCATTCGCTCGAACGGTGAAGGAAAACATCGTGAGGAAACCGACATGTCTTGGACATTAAAAACAACGGAGTGTGTCAGAAGGCTGATCACCTATGAAATACAAATGAGCAAAGAATTGTAATCTGAGGCCACCTATATGGGGCTGTAGCGCTGGATTATTGAAGTTATACTTCCTTGGGCGCGTTATGAATAATTGATGAGAGTGAAATTTTACGATGCGCGCGCACCGTGACACAAAATTAACAGAATGAAGTTGCCCACGAAAGATGCTACGGCATTGGACATCATTTAAAAACAACATTCGAATAATAATAGAATTTATGTTACACTTAATGTAAGAGAATAATAATAAATATTTATTTATTAAATTTTTCAAATGTAAACTGAACTTTATTGACTATAATGACTCCTTGTCCAGTCTTTGATTATTTAATCGTAATTAATTATTTGCATGCAATCAAAAACGATTTTTAATAATTCCAAAAAAAAACTTCTTACGCGCGTACCTACATAAGTTCACGCATCCTTTTTTTATATAAAATACTTATACTTTTCATTTAGTCGAAGTAGAATTGGCAGTTCGTTGATAAAACTGTTATAATTAGGTCATATGTTTAATCGTTCCACGCGATCTATTAGATATAAGATAATACATAATCACTCATTTTAGCAATGTACAATTCTTCGAAATTTAATTATCGCGTTCTCACTCCCATCTTCTGACAGTCAATCATCTTTCATAGACAGTAAAAGTGTTCGTGTATGGGTCGTTTAAACAAACAATTTTATTTGCTTTGAGAACATTCGGTACAGAAGGTATAGAAACCGTTACCCAGGTAGAAAAGAAAAGCAAAGACACAGATGCAATCTTTGACCAAGCATTGCTCCGGGAGAATACGACTCCGGCCACGGCCTCGTTCCCTTCTCAAATTTATTCGATACTACCCATTGGGTCACTGAATACCAGAGACCCCTTTCGGGGGCAGGGGCACAAATAATTTCCACGACATAAATTAAGACTATGTCATATTATTAATACATACCTTATAATTATTGAATCCCTTGAGATGTTTCACACTTAAATATTTATAGTCAAACATGTTTTGCGTTTTCGCTTATAAATGCTTTAAAATTTTTGTTAATACATAATACCGGTTCGAGCGACCATGGCCGACTGGTTTAATAACTGATAGTGTTATCAGTAATTCATAAATATCAATAGATTGATTATTTATTAATAATTTGTAGACATTTATGTCCCAGAAAATGTGTTTTTGTTTACATATTAGTATTTCGTAACCGATTTTTTTTGTCGTTAATTTACAAATGGAATTTAACGAAGAAAGCGTAACTAAAGTCTCTATTAAAAGTAGACACTCTGTTCTTATGTCCAACCTAATTTACTTATTTAGCAATAAGCTAATGTCCAATAACAGTTCATCTTCTAACAGCTCGTTTTCAAAGGGAATAGCCTCCGACATTCACGTGATGGTGGAGCCTTGTTCTTGTGTTCCACAGTTTTTTACTGCTGTGGCGACGACTGTAATATCTAATTTGGCTACTAACGTGGGACTGTATGTTTTTCTACAAACTTTAGGCAACGTGATATCAAAATGGTGCTGCTGACACGTAGCCTCAGAAATTCACGTGATGGTGACAACCTCTTTAGTTCGTGGGCTCGGATCTGAATCTGTTTATGATTATTTATAAATCTAATAGGCAAGTAGGTGTCAGCCTCCAGTGCCTGATTGAAAAATCGCGTCATGTTGGATCATGACATGTCGGTTTCCTCAAATGTTTTGGCCTTCAACGTCGAGCGAATGTTAAATGCGCACATAGAAAGAAATGTATTGGTGCACAGCCGGAGATCGAACCTACGACCTCAGGATGAACGCACTTGAAGTCACTAGGCCAACATTGCTCACCGCCTGAAGCACGTTGCTACCAACATCCTGAAATTCTTTTGGACATGTCAGAGATCCAGAAAGTGTAGAAAATGTAATTGACTGTGCAAAGTGTAGGCACCAGATCTCTATCATCACCCAGGCGCAGAGGCTAGCTGAAGACATGGGATAGTGGAAGAAGTTATGCGGCGCCACCAACACGACCTTCAGAAATGAAGAGTGCGAAAAGGGGAAGATTGATTGATTGATGAAGATACATTAAGGTTTTTCGATTTCTGGTTCTGCTTTTCATTGCTTTATAATGTCGCACACAACAGTTACAACTAAACCTAAAATATCTCCGTTGTTTATATTAAATCCGCATTTCCGACTATAAATGTCGCTCCGATCAAAAAGTCCAAGAACATAAGCCATTAAAAGCATGTTGATGACGGTGGCGTTAATTGAGTGCAATGGTGCAGTGTGCAATTAAAATATAATTGTCCCGCGCTACTGTGACAAATGGCGGACCGAGACAGCTGTTAATTTGACACACTGGCCGTCTAGAGCAGTGGGGTTACAGAGAGTCTATACGATAGACAATAACAATAATAAAATAATAAATAATAATGTTACTTTATTACCAACAACAATAAATTTACATATTAAATTCGTGTAAGGTGTGCATATGTTAGTACAGGAAATATACAAGTATTGAACAAATCAAACTTGGGCGCCCACTAAAGCATACAAAGCTACAGGTGTGTCAAAGATCGATGGAACGATGTATGACAGGGAAGAAAAGGAAAGACAAAATAAAGAATACAGCTTTAAGAAAAACACCTAACAGATGTTACAATAAAAATAAATAAACTGAAGGGGAAACGGGCGGGGCACATGGCAACAGAAAAGTGGAGCTAAAAGTACTAAACTGATGCAAAAGCAAACGAAAAAGGGGAAGACAACTTAGCAGGTGGATAGACCAAATTAAAGAAACAGCAGGTACATGGCAGAGAGAGGCACAGTGCAGAGGAATGGCGGGATTTTTAGGAGGCCTTTACAAAAAAAGGGCACACAGATACATAATGAAGATTCAAATAGAAACTGTTTTTACTGTTAACTGTTGTGTTTATATGTAATAGTATCTGAATTTAAAGGCTATTATTATTATCACACACTTAGTCTTATCTGCAATGGCCCCTTTTTGGTAAATCCCAACCTGGACTTTCCATTTAAAACTGTTTTTCTTCTTCCATCCATTACTCCCCAGAAATTGTTATTATGTCGCCAGCCCATCTCTTTTATTGTCCTACACACTTATCATCCCTGCACAACCCTTCCAAGCCTCGGCGACCCATCTTCGGTATACCTTGCAATATGCCTGCCCATTTCTAATATGCTCACTTCGAAACGTGTTTAGTGTTGACATTGCTGCAATAAGCTGTCATAATTCGGCATAATTTTGCCGCATAAAACAATAATAAAGGAAGTTTTAATAACACTGAATCGACACAGCTTCTATGCGTGAGAAGTACCTTTTAAGACAAGTAAAGAAAAGAGTAGCAAAGCAGAGTGACGATGATTAAAGGGATAATCAGCTTAAATACGGTAAAGAATAGAGAAGGAAATGGCGATATTTCTGGCAAAGTGATGATTGTGTGTAATACGCGTATAGTTCTTTAGTTCTTTTAAGTATTTGTTTTTAATTTGTGTTTCGTTGAAAATCACACAGATGATTGTACAGACTTTATCGTATAATTATAAGTATTTTCAAAGCTATATAGTCAAATGTAAACGCGTCCATAACTTCTGAGTTCTGCGTCTTTTATATTTATAAGTAAAGTATATCTTCTCTGAGGTCGTCGGTTCGATCCCCAGCTAGAAAGAAAGTGCATTTTGACTCGACCAGTGAACTAAAACGTCGTCGGTCTGTGTCAGGCACAGAAGGCTGATCACCTTTGATCCAACATCAAGGCTGATCTGATTATAACAGAAGGAACAACACAAAAAAGAACAATAAAAACAATAACTAACCGTAAAATATATTATTAAAAGAAGTCCCTTTAGGCAAGGTTCCGAAGATTCTGGCAGCGTTCCCCCTTTGAATAGCTAGACTCATTCTTTGTCCGAGGTAGCTGCCAGCTCTTCGGTCTCCTGTTATATCGACTAACCTTTTTGCTATTTCCTTAAAAAGCCTTATAGCTCTAGGACCCCACGGACCAAGGGTCTCTAATTTATATTAATTAATTCTGGTATATTGCCACTTTTTGGGTCGCAGAGCCGGCGGGATGATATTAGCCCAAGCTAATGACGCAAATGCCTCTGTTCCTGGATGTTAATTACTCTACGCCTGATCTACATTAATGCTCAATTGGCTGTTTTCAATTTACATGAGGTAAAATATAAAATATTGTACATTAATAGATATTGTTTTACAACTGCGTATGAAGACCTACAAAGGGTTAAAAACCAAATAAACTTAAGTTATTGTACAGAGATATTCGTGCATATTTCTGTTCTTCATTTTTAATGCAGGACCTCAAAGTCGATTCGTGGAGACAAGCTGACATGCTCTCTGTTTTTTTTAAGATTTTTTTTTTTGGACAATTATGTTTACCATAATACCTAGTCAAATATTTTAAAAAAGATAGCTTGTAACATATACTGTAGATATAGCATGTAATAAATAAATATACTATAAACAAGAATATAGATAAATTTGTCTTTATACTGATTTAAATCGATTAAGTTCCGTCTTTTTTTTATAGTACAAGGGGCAAACGGGCAGGAGTCTCATCTGATGTTAAGTGGTGACCGCATGGACATTCTCAATGCCAGAGGGCTCGCGAGTGCGTTGCCGGCCTTTTTATTTTTGACCAAATCGAAAGTAGAGTTTTAAGTCCAACATTTAATTGGAATAAAAAGTGCTTTTGACGTCTTAAGTTTGACATGTTCATTTAGAGCAGTAGCCTAGCGTGTCCCATCCACGAGTTTGGATCCCCGGCCTATCAACGGACTGTTAGGAAACCCTTAGACCAACCCATTTGGTTTTGCTTCTATAAAGCTAGCAGAATATTCGTAAATATAACATGCAACAGACAACAATGTTGGCTTAGTGCCTTTAGCTTGCGACTCTCATCCCTGAGGTCGTAGGTTTGATCCCCCGGCTGTTCACTAATGAGCTTTCTGTCTATGTGCGCATTTAACATTCGCTCGAACGGTAAAGGAAAACGTGAGAAAAATGCATGTAGACCCAAAAAGTTGACGGCGTATGTGAGGCACAGAAGAAAAACAAATGAATGTGAAACAGATACAGAAAGCTGTTATAGCGCCAGTGTTTTTTTAAATATTTATTTGGTATTATAACACACGGGCAAAAGACAGTTACAGTAATTGTTAGGTTGATTTATCTGTGGCGTGGTTCGTGCTTATAAAAAAATTACGTTAGAAAAGTTACCGAATCTCACCCTCAGATCCCGGTAGTTTCCAAACTTTTAATTAAATAAAGAAAAGCTTGTTAGCGATTGCAATTACTTCACCAATTAAAACTCCCGTTTATTTTTAACGTCCCTCGGAAATTAGAGATAATTTGGCTCACGCGGCTGGCAACACAGACATTATCGGTGCGGTTCGAATTTCAAATTACGCGCCGGTGTCGGGTGGCGCCCTCCGCGTCGCGTGGCAACGCAGGTGTATCGATCCAGAGATCAGCGAATTGTAACTCGCATCTGTATTATGTTTATTTTTATTGTAGATCTAATCAAAAGGGAGAAAGAGATTTTGTGAGATTCGGACTCATATGGGATAGTATTTAATACTATATTTTTTAATTAAAGTTAATAAAACATTAACGTCGCAAGGTACACTAGAATTCTTAAATTAGGAAAATTAAACTTGAATTAAATTTAACAACTAACTGATAATGCCTTTTGGAGGAGCGCGATACACATAAACACTAATTAAATCATAGAATCATAATCATGAAAAATTTATGAGAGTGAAATTTTACGATGCGCGCGCACCGTGACACAAAATTAACAGAATGAAGTTGCCCACGGAAGATGCTACGGCTTTGGACATAATTTAAAAACATCATTCGAATAATAATAGAATTTATGCTACACTGTGAAAGAGAATAATAATCAATATTTATTTAATTAATTTTTCAAATGTAAACTGAACTTTATTGACTATAATGACTCCTTTTCCAGTCTTTG